TCAAAACCAAAAAAAAAAAAAAAAAAAGGAGAAAAACATGACAATAGTGTGTCCAGCGGTCATCTTATCCAAGCAGCCCCTTCCCCTACTTCCAAACGGGATCCAGCCCATGCCTGGGTGCAAGATAGAGGCTCAAAGCATGGTCAATGAGTTCCCTCCTCCACTCCTGGTCTCCCTCTCCCATGGGGAACAGGAGCCACACCTCACTGTGTCCTGGTTGGGTCAGAAGCAAATCGAGTTCTGGATCCCACAAAAGATGTGGGGACCTGAGAAAAGGGTGACTGGGCTGAGGGCAAAGCGGGGGGGGGTGGGTAGGTTACAGGGTCACATGGTAGCTGCTGGAGAATCCCTACCCCAGAGACCCACAGATTCTGCTCACCTTCCCGATGCAGGGGTTCCTCTTTGGGCTTGGGGTGCATTAGGGTGAAAGGCAGTTCCACAGCCACATCACTGAAAGAGACCCAGACCCAGTGAGCCTTGAGCAGACTCGCAGGCTGTGAGACTCGATGTCAACGCCCTGTCAGGGAGGACTGCGAAGGGTTTTGCCATCAGAGGAGGTAGATCCAAAAGATGCCCTCCAGCCCCAGTTCTGCCACTCAGAGCCTCGGTCTGCCTGGGAACTGGATGAGGAGACTTCCTCTGGCTCCAAAAAGAAATGGAAGCCTCCCCTTTCCTGAGAAGGCTCCCTGGGTTTCCATGGGCTGGGAGGAGGCCCAGGGGTGGGAAAGGATTGCCCAGGGCAGCATGCACCATGGTCACTGCGGGGCTCCAGAGGTGCCCTGGGACCCTGCCCACCTCAAATCGCCACAGCCACCCTCACCTCCCCTGACACTGCCCTTCCCAACTTCCAGGTTGGAACTCCTCCCACCCTCACACCATCCCATCTCCCAACACCTCCAGGGCACTCTTGTAAAAGTGCTCAGGTGACCCTAGCACCCCTGCAATCTGGATGAAGCACTGTGGAGGTCAGTTTAGTCAGGTTTAGGATGGCCCCAGGGCCCAAGGCTGTCCACGCTGTGGGGATGCAGGAGAAAGCAGTCGGGAAGACCCAGCCACCAGCCAGTGCTTCTGATGGGGCTTTCTCTGTACTTGGCCCTGATGGACAGAATAAGAGCAAGTATTCACATGGTACTGACCCTGTGCCAAGGATTACTGTAAGCCCCTTCCATAGAGTAACTCATTTAATCCTCGCAACAACCCTATTATTACCCCCAATGTACAGACTGGGACATTGAGACATGAGGAGATTAAAATATCTTGCCCAAGGTCACACAGCTATTAATGATAAGTGATAGCAGATTCTGGCTCCACAGCCACACCCTTGATCACTGTGTGACAGTAGCAGAATTGAGACCAACAAAAGCAACCCTGAAGGCTCCTCTCGGCTTGGGGTGGCATCACCCTAGGAGACCCCCCAACTGCGAGTGCCTACAGGCACAAGCCACATCTTACTGATCTTTTTGTCCAGAGCCCAGTTGGGAAAGAGGAAGGGACAGGGAATGGAGTGGTCAGAGGCACAAGCCATGCAATTAGAAAGGTCTGTTCCACCAGCCTCACCACTCGCTGGTGCAGCACTTTCTAGCTTTGAGTCTCACTGAGCTCCACGTGGAAATGGGGATAACAACAGGTTCTAGATAGCCTGTCTTCTAGAACCACTGGAACTTCTGGGAGATGAGGCAGCTAAAGGGCTGAGTTAAACTGTGAAGCTTGACCAGGCACAGTGGCTCAAGCCTGTAATCCTAGCACTTTGGGAGGCCAAAGCGGGCGGATCCCTTGAGCTCAGGAGTTCGAGACCAGCCTGGGCAACATGGTGAGACGCTGCCCCCACCACCCATCTCTACTAAAAATACAAAAATTAGGCCAGGCACGGTGGCTCACGCCTGTAATCCCAGCACTTTGGGAGGCTGAGGCGAGTGGATCATGAAGTCAGGAATTCAAGACCAGCCTTGCCAAGATGGTGAAATACTGTCTCTAATAAAAATACAAAAATTAGCCGGGGTTGGTGGCAGGTGCCTGTAATTCCAGCTACTTGGGAGGCTGAGGGAGAGAACTGCTTGAACCTGGGAGGCAGAGGTTGCAGTGAGCCAAGATGGCGCCACTGCACTCCAGCCTGGCCCGACAGAGCGAGACTCTGTCTCAAAAAGAATAAAAAAATCAAATAAAAATGTGAAGCTTGTGCCTGCCAGAATCATTACTTCCCCTCAGTGGGAACCTGGGGGTTTTACAAGGCTGTCAGAGCTATTTGGCCTTTTTTTCTTCTCTTTTTTTTTTTTTTTTTCCTTTTGCTTTGGGGATTGCTTCAGAATGGAGCTAGTGGAAGACTGGGTTTGCCAACAGTTTAGTGGAAGAATCTGGATCTCAACCTTCTACTGGGCCAGGAATGATAAGGTCAGGGGCCACATCTGATTCCTCTCTGGGACTCTGGCACTCAGCACTAGCCTGGACACAAGCCCAGGGTGAGGAAATCTTTGCTGAATTATATGGAACTGAATTGAATTGAACGAATTTCACCTGTCAAATTAGTCTAAGATTTCTTAGGATGAGCCACACTGCCATCTTGTGACAGGAGGAGGCCAAACTGCTGTGTTTGGGGTACATGCATTTTTGGAATATAAGTGCATCCAGCTGGCTGCAAGGAGACCTTGTTTACAAAATAAGATCTCCTAAGGACCTCTCCTTAGCAACACTCAGCCAGCAGTTCATCCTCACTAGTGTAGAAGTTTGAAAGTCATGAAGTCTGCATTTCTCCAAAAGCTCCTATAATTCAGGTGATCAGTAATTCAAACTGCTCTCTTGGGGGCCACTCCCTGTATCAATGTAATCAGGCTTTGCTCTCTGTAAAGGTCCCTGTCACTCGGGTGGGATGGAAGAGCAAGGTAAGGTTTGTTAAAGAGAAATTGTGTCTCCCAGCTTACACCTGAACCTGGCAATCTGAAATGACCACTAAGATTCCTTCCAACCCAGTGCCCTGTGATTCTGGTCAGTCAACCCAATGGGCTCCAGGCCCTCCAGGAAGGTGGGTGAACGGTGGAAGGGAGGAATTTACCTGGATGCAAGATCTCCCAACAGGCTGGGTGGGTCAGAGGAGGCAGGAGAAGTGGTTGGGAGAGAGTTCAGAGAGGAGAGAGGAAGAAAACAAAAAGCACATTCATTCACCACTTCTGCTGTCCCCCAGATAGAGAAGACCCATGGGACACACTCCCATCCACCCCCCTGCACAGCCCTGACTGCTCTTTCAGGGATACACTGAAATGGCATTAGCCCTGCCCCAAGGGACTGGGATCCAGACCCAGCTCAGCAAACCCCCTGAGCCCCAGGATCCTCATCTGTAAAGGCAGTGTAAAAATTAACCCCAGTGCTGCCTGCCCCAAGGGAGGCTGGGCTATCTAAAGGCAGAGGGAAGGACTCCGGAGTTGCCAAGAATGTTTGAGGGACTGCAGATCCTGAAAGGTCACCAGACACAGGATTTGGGATTTGTAATTTTGAGATGTTTTATTATATAAGGTCAGGATTACACACTGCCACTGCCAAGAGGCATTCTTCTAATAATCAAGGAGACCCAATGTCTAATGGGATTTAGCTTTTCAATCTTTTCATAGAAATTTATGAATTAAGTTACAAAAAAGAAACGTAGTTGTTTTTTCTTCTTCTCCCCAAGCTTCCACCAAACTATGCTCCAGGGCAGGGAAGTCTGGTCCACCGCTATGACCCCAGCCCATGACCTGAGTTAGGGGAGGAGATTTCAGGCAATGTTTGGGGCACTGTTTGGGCCTCTGTTTCACCATCTGTAAAAAGGCAAAGCTGACTAGCTAGTAAATCCGCAATCCAGCTCTGGGTTCTGAGCCCTTTTAGCTGTTTCCTCGGAAAATTAGCTTGGGCATGCATGGGGGTGGGTGCCATGCCCACAGTGTGATGAGGAGATTGCACCCCTGGGCACCCCACAGCATAGACTCTGAGGACGCCGTCCCCTGGGCATGGCCAATCCTCAGTGTGAGCCCAGACCCAGGATAGAGGAGGAGAAGGAGGAGAGAAAGAGATGGCCGGGGGTAAGAGAGGGGCTGAGGGCCAAGGAAGGAAGAGAGGAAAAGCGGGCAGGGGAGGAGAAAGAGGAACAGAAGGGACAGGAGGTTCCTCCTCCAGGGTGGATGCAGCTAAAATGGCTGCAAACAGGCAGAATGGGGCAGGGGCCTGTGAGCATCTGCAACGCTCCCCTCTGCACGCTAGGGTCTTGGGTTTGGCTAGAGCACTCACCCGCCCCGAGACACCACCAGCTTTACTTTCACTTTGTAGGAAACAATGATCCCCAGGATCTCACGGTTGGCGCCTTCCCTCAACCTGCAAAGTGACACAGGGGAGCCGGTTCAGGGGCCTTGCCAGGTGGGCGAGACACCTCAGGGGTGGGTGTGCTGGGGGGCAGTGGCCATCCATCCCCCATTTGGCTGGCCACTCAGCTACCATGTCCAGTAAAGTGCAGTGGAGGTGAGGAAGGTGAGCAGTGCCCTTAGGTAGCAGGGACCCAGAGCCCCGGTTCCAAGTCTGGCTGTGAGACTCGCTCGCTGTGTAGCCCTGTTGAGCCCCTCTCCCTGCCCAGGTCAGCATGCCCACAGTGATGGCCGGGCTCCTCCTCCCCTCAGATGGATTCTGCTTCTCTCAGCAACCCATGGGCAGAAAGGGCCACACACAGAGTTCACAGAGGGCCAGGCAGCTTGGGTGGGGTGGGGGCCGTCAGAGAAGGACTTCTCCACAGAAGTGGTGCCTCAGCTGGGTCTTGAAGGTGGATAGGGTGTGAGCCAGTGTGGAGACAGGGCAAAAAGCTTCAGGTAAGTGGGAGGCTGTGCAGGGGCTGCTGAGGAGAGCTGAGAGAGTCTGTGCTGGAGTGGTGGCTGCTCTAGACGCAGGCCAAAGCCTCACTGAAGGACCACACTCGCAAGAGGGCAAGATGGCATCCCCATAGCCAGGGCTCTGCTGGAGCAGAGTAGCCTAGAGGTATCCATGTGCAGCAGGACTGACCAGATGCCTTGGGACCCCTGACTTGGAGGGGCACCCCATGTTGGGTCTAACCCAGCTCACCACTCTGGTCTCTCCTCAGGGACACCCCATCTGACTGAAGGCATTATGTCAGAAGCTGCCACCTCTTGCAGGAAGCCTTCCCAGGTTGCCCTCCCCCAGGCATGGTAGCAGAGCCCAGCACTGCCTGAGCGAGCTGGCCTAGTGGTCCATCTTATTCTGAGTCACCCCTGGGTAGGAATGGGAGCAAGGAGGCAGCTTCCCTGACAAGTCAAGCACCTGAGGACAGGCCCTGACAAGGCTGTGGAGAGGGTAGCCTGAGCTTTGTCTTTGAACTGGGGGGACCAAGGAGGGTGTGGCCCCATCAGGCAAGGTGCACTAGGAGCCCAGGACTAGGAGGGCAGGTCCTCACAGGGTGCTAGAGGCCAAGTTCGTGTCTTCATGCTTGAGCTTCCCATCCAAGGCGAGGCCTCGCTTCTCTCGGTTATTGGCTAGGAAGGGGGTCAGTGTGTAGACCTTGCAGAACGTCGAGCTGGGTGCCACAGTGTCACTGGGAAGAAGGGAAGCAGCTGTGGAGATGGCCCTCCCCAGAGCCAACCCCACCCCTGATCTCCAGCCCAGCAGAATATCTAGTCTGGGCCTGCTCCAAGTCTCCCTCTCCCAACCTCTGTTCCCCAGATGCATGGACCACTTGGGCCAGCCCAGCTCAGGCAAGGAGAACCACTGCCACTCAAAAGAGGCACATCTATCTACATTCTACGCACAAACAGGACTGAATCTGGGATATTCTAAAAGATTGTCCAAGTCAAGCAGCACAGTGCTGAAAAGCATATTCATTTAAAAAATTACAGCTGGCCAGGCACGGTGGCTCACGCCTGTAATCCCAGGACTTTGGGAGGCTGAGGTGGGTGGATCACCTGAGGTCAGGAGTTTGAGACCAGCATGGCCAACATGACGAAATCCCATCTCTACTAAAAACACAAAAAATTAGCCGGGTGTGGTGGCGGGCGTCTGTAGTCCCAGCTACTTGGGAGACTGAGGCAGGAGAATGGCATGAACCCGGGAGGCGAAGCTTGCAGTGAGCCAAGACTCCATATCAAAAATAATAATAATAAAAAATTACAGCCACAGCCGGCACAGTTGCTTATGCCTGTAATCCCAGCAACTTGAGAGGCTGACAGGAGGATTGCTTGAGGCCAGGAGTTTGAGACCAGCCTGGGCAACATAGCAAGACCCCATCTCTACAAAAAATTTTAAATATTAGCCCGATATGGTGGCACACACCTGTAGTCCTAGCTACTTGGGAGGCTGAGGCAGGACGATCACTTGAGCCCAGGAGTTCGAGGCTAGCTGTAGTGAGCCATGATGATACCACTGCACTCCAGCCTGAGCAACAGAGTGAAACTCTGTCTCTAAACATTTTATTTAATTTTATTTTATTTTTTTATTTTATTTAATTTTTATTTTATTTTTTGAGACAGAGTCTCGCTCTGTCGCCCACGCTACAGTACAGTGGTGTGATCCTGGCTCACTGGAACCTCCACCTCCCAGGTTCAAGCAATTCTCCTACTTCAGCCTCTCAAGTAGTTGGGATTACGGGCGCACACCACCATGCCCAACTAATTTTTGTATTTTTAGTAGAGATGGGGTTTCGCCATGTTGGCCAGGATGGTCTCAAACTCCTGACCTCAAGTGATCCGCCTTCTTCAGCCTCCCAAAGCGCTGGGATTATAGGCGTAAGCACCAGCCCTGTCTCTAAACAAATTTTAAAAAGAAAAAATTATAGCTACACACAAACCATAAATGAAGCTATTTGGGCAGCCATATACCCATCATATAGGCTCAACAATTAACACGTTACTTGCTTGATCACATCCATCATACATAGGGCGTTTTGACTGTCCAATTTTTACTTGCTTTTGCTCTATCCCCCACCCTTTCCAATGAGAGAGCTGTCATGCAGCAGATAGTGAACAAGCCTTGGAGTCGGATGACCTGTGTTCCAACCCCAGCTTTGCTGCTTGCCAGCTTGCAAGTCACATCTCTCTGAGCCACTTCCTCCTCCACACACTGGGGCAGCAGCAACCCCAGCCCCACAGTGCTTCCTGAGAAGTAAACAAGTCTGTGAATGCAAATGCCTCCCCAGCCATCCCTGCTGGTATTCGTTATGCAGACGCTGGCACCATCTGCAGTGGTTGCGATTTTCTACTCTTTAGGGATTATACGTTACTCTGGTTCTAGATCATTTCACTTTACCATCAGGAATCTATGCCTCATAGCTCTGATTTTTTTGAAAAAATCAACAGTGGATATGAAAAATATCCAATAACCAGAGAATGCTTGATCTAATCATAGCATGTTCACCTATAGGACATTAAAAACTATTTCAAAGGCCATGTAGTAACATTTTAAAATGTTTTAAGTTGCAAGAAATACTGATTGGAATTATATATAAACAAATACACATATACATGTAAAATTATATCGGGTGTAATTGCCCCAAGAAATTACTTGCAGGGCCGGGGGAAAAAAAAAAAATGTGTGTGTCTTTGAATGGGAGCATTTACTTCCTTTAGGCAAGTAAAGATGTTTCACTTGAGATCTCTCCTCTTGCCTCAGCTGCCAACAAGCTTGGGACAAAGTTCAGTCCATGCTCAACCATAGTAGTTCTCCTCAAACCTGGATTGTGTGTGTGTAATTATGCTCTACACTCCCCCACACAACCTCTTTCACCCAATGAGCTGGATTACCCCTTTATCAAACAAGAGCTGTGTACCTACTGCCTTACCCACTTTGCCCTGGTTACCAGAAAGTTCAAGAACAAAGTATTTCCCTTCAACCTAGGTTTCTTGTACAACGTAATTATCTTCTCTCCACAACCCCAATCCCCTTACATTCATTAGCTCTTGTTTTGTCGTTCTAGTTTTAGTGGGTCTCTTCCTTGACTGTAGCATGCATTTTCTTGTAGATAAATCAGGTGGATGGTTTCTAAAAGGCTCTGCGGGATCATCTACTCTGAATGGCAAGGAAGTCTGAGGCCCAGCCCTCTGCCAGGTGGAGAAGAGCCACCTGGACCTGTAACGGGACACCTAGAGCTTCTCTTTTTCCCACCGAATCCCACACGCCCAAGGCCAGACTTGTGCCCACTTACTCAGCCTCTTCCATGGCAACAGGGCACTTGTACTGAGCTGTGTTGAAAAGGCAGATGTCTGCATACTGGCGCACTAAGGAGGGAGAGGAATCGAGGTGGAGTGAGTCAGGAATGCAGCTCCCATGGAGTCTCACAGGCGTCCCAGGTTGGGGATATTCAGCCCCAGGCAATGGCCAGAGGCCACCAGTGGGGACTTCTGCATGAGACCACCCCTGTCTTCCATCCAAAGGGTAGCCCCAAACACATCCCTTTCCTTCCATAACCAAAGCCTTCCCCTCAAGGACAGCTGTGCCCAGAACCCAAGAAACTGAAGAGGTGGCTTAAAGAGCAAGCTCATTACCTGGCCAATAAGCAGCCTGCCTTACCCAACTCAAAAGCTTTGCCCTGTGGCTCAGAGCAGGCCCCAGGCTTCAGTGGCTATTTTTTATACAAGGCTGTTAATAAGGGGAGATCCTTCGGCCACTCCCAGCCCTTGGGAAGACTGCCTCTTGCTGTCCCCTAAGCTGACCCTCTGCCTAGGGTACCTGAGATCTTGATCTTCTTCACCGTCTTGTTGGTGTTGTTGGTGACGTGGACGTTGACACTGATGGGTTCTCCATGGTAATAGATCTGGGGGGCATAAGAAGGGATGGGGTTGGCTGGAGGACAGCAAGGTTCTAGGGAAAGGGAAGGGAGAAAAGCCCCCACGCGATCTTCTGGGGTTCCCCAGACCTTGGGCAGACCTTCAGAAGGGTCTGCTGCTCCCTTCTGAAGTCCATCACATCCCTCAGGTTCATGCCCCCTCTGCCACTCCTTTAGGCCCAAGAGATTTCTCTGAATCCCCCAAGGCATTGTGACATTTGCCCCAAGTTCATCAGCCACTTCCCACTGCTGCTAAGGTGGCACGAAAGCCACCAAGCACATTAGCCTTCAGTTCCCTGGTGGAACCCTTGAAAGATAATGGAATTGGAAGGTGATAGTCCTGGGCTCCAGCCCTGGCTTGGCCACCAGTAATCGTGACAACAATAACAACAATAACACTGACGACGATGAAAGCAGTGTGACTGTGGGTAGGTTAAGCCTCAGAGTCTCCCTCTGTGCAATGAAGGGGTTGGACTAGGTGATATCTGAAGTCCCTGCCAGCTCTAAATTCTGTCCATGGAAGGATCTGGAAGAAGCAGGGAAAGGTGAGGAGGGGCTGACCAGCTCACTGAGGGAGCCAGCTCTGAATCCCCACAAAAAGGCCTCAACCTGCATCTTGCCCCAAGGCACTTCCCTTCAGCCATGCCCCGAGAGAGGGGGGGTGCCCACACGTTGAGGAGGGGCTAGCCCGAGCTCACAGCAGGCATCAGTCATCTGGGTTTGATTCAGAGCTTGAGGGGAGGCCCTTCCTTCAGCAGGGCTTGTCGCCCCGATGCTCAGGGTTTGGCAGGGAGGTCACAGCCCCCCACCGTACCCCCTCTGCAATGCTGGTTGACCTTCAGCACTCGGCCTGAAGCAGGCAGCTGGTGGAGGTGTGGGGGAGATGTCCAGGACCTTCGGGAGGGTCTGCTCCTCCCTTCTGAAGTCCATCACATCCCTCAAGTTCACGCCCCCTCTGCCATTCCTTTAGGCCCAAGAGACTTCTCCAAATCCCCCAGGAGAGGTCTCAGATTCCCTGAGCCCTGTGGTCCTTGGGCTGGGGGTAGAAGCTCCTATCTGAGGCTTCCCTGCAGGCCAGGAGAGAGCTGAGATCTGAGGCCCAGGCCCTAGTGGAGCAGCCCCCACCCCCTGCCCAGTTCAAGCCTCCTACCTCCTTATCCAGGGAGGCCTCTAGGTGCAAGGGCTTGTCCGACATGAGGAACTGCCTGGTGGTCTCAGCTGTGGGCTGGGGGCCAGGCCTCTCTGGGGCATATTGAACCTTCCGGATGACCAGACGCACAGAATTCCTAATGGGGATGGACGGAGTGAAAGAGGACCAGGGTCACCTGCCTTCATCCCCTCTCCTTGCAAGCCTCACATCATTCTCCTGCTCATGAGACTGGCATGGCTCTTCAATGCCTTAGAATCCAGCCAAACTGCAGAGATCAGCATAGGGGTCTGTCACTATCTGGCTCCATTCCATCCTCCCCTGTTCTATCCCAGAAGTGCCCTGTGGCCGCACTTCATTTGGGTCCTGGTACCCAGCAGGATGCTGAAACAGGGACTACATTTTCACCTCCTGCTTCCCTACATCACCAAATAGGTAACAATGTCACTTCCCACCTCCCTATGTCACCTTACACAAATAGTGTCCCTCTGTCATCTATTTTGGTGACACAGGACACTATTTGTGTAAGCTCTTTAAGGACAGAAATTTGTGTCTAAGGTGTTCACAACTGTACTCTCAGCACCTATGACTGTGCGTGCCATATAATAAACACATGCCAGATATCTATTATGTAAAACTACGCAGAGGGGACAGAGGTCCCAAGAAGAAATGGGGTTTGGGGAGGCGTTGGGGTTCAGGGAGGAGGTGTGGATTCAGTCAGGGGGATGCAAGCCAGTGAAGGGGACAAGCCCAGGGAGGGGAGAAGGGCCATGGATGAGACTGGCTCCACGAAGGTTACAGGGGATCAGGGAGCAAATGAGGATCTGGTGAGGGAGGGGGACTCAGTGAGGCCGTCTCTGAGGCATGCTGGGAATGCTGCATCTCTGTTGCTCAGATAAGCTGCTTCCATTGCCTGGAACGGGGGAGCCAGGGTCAAACTCCCAGCTCTCCTCTTGCTAACTATGTGGCCTTGGGTACATTAACCTCTCTGCCTCCATTCCCTCATCTGTAAAGGGTGATGATAGAAGGACCTAACTCTTTTTTTGCTTTTTAAATTTTTATTTATTTATTTATTTTGAGGTGGAGTCTCACTCTGTTGCCCGGGCTGGAGTGCAGTGGCACGATCTCAGCTCACTACAACCTCTGCCTCCCAGGTTCAAGCAATTCTCCTGCCTCAGTCTTCCGAGCAACTGGGATTACAGGCATATGCCACCACACCTGCCTAATTTTTGTATTTTCAGTAGAGATGGGGTTTCACCATGTTAGCCAGGCTGGTCTGGAACTCCTGGCCTCAAGTGATCTGCCCGCCTCGGCCTCCCAAAGCTCTGGGATTACAGGCGTGAGCCACCGCGCCTAGCCAGGACCTAATTCTTAGAGCTGCTATGAGGATTAAATTAGTTCGTACAGCCCAGCACTGTGAATGGTGCCTGGCACCTAATCAGCCCTTGATAAATGAGAGCTTCTATATCATTATTAGTAACTCCTTGGTGTGGATTTTAAATGTCCCATTGGTGGTAGGGTGAGAGGGGTGGCTCTCAATGTCACCTCCTCTTTCTTGTGCTTGCTAAGCCTCCTCCCACATCCCACAGCACCCTTCCTTTTCCCTTGTCTCAAGTCTTAAGAGGAAAAGGGAGACAGAGAAGCAAGGGAGAAAAGTCCCATCTCCCCACACACAGGCAGGGCTGCAGATGCAAATGTATGCAATACACCCTATAGCCACCAGGTGGCAAACTCAGCCCATGCCCTAAAAAGGCTGCTGTGCCCTCAGCCAACCTCCTCTGGGAACAATGCCTCTGGATGCAGGAACATCAGCGTTGAGGGCCCACCAGCTCTTCCAGGAGGCAGGCAGAGCACAGCCTGACCCAGGAGGGGCAGGCCTGAGACATCCGGGCCAGCTGTTTCTGGCTGCCAGCCTGGGCTGTCTGTCTGCCCGGGCTGTGCTTCTCCGGAGAATGCTTCCCCTCTCTCGGATGTGAGCCGAGCTCCCTGTCACTCTGCCCTGGATGGGTTCACTATCTCCACTTCCTCCTCACTTAGAAGCTGCCATTGACACACACTCAACCCCTGCTGAACTCCTCCCAGGAGGAAAACTGGAAAATGGGGATGGTCAGGAAACAGCCTGCTCACAGTTTAACACAATCTGAATTTAGGATTTTTCCAAAACAAATTAAAAAGACATGCAGTCTGGAGGGGATGAAATGAGAGGCAGGGAGATGAGGGAGGAAGCTTCCACAACGGTGCGAAGGAGAAGATGCGGCAGCCTGAACCTGGGCAGTCAAAGCCACCTCCCCCAGGAAGCCCTCCGTGACCTCCCAGCTTCCAGAGTGCCCTTCCAAGGCTGGAATGTGCGCCCCTCCTCACACACTTCCAGGTATTGTTACTTATCTCCTCTTGGACTTTGCCCATCCTGTCTCCCTCCCTCACCCAGCAGGCAGCCCACACCCTGGCATCCTACTCACCGCTTGTGGATCTTCTCCTCCAAATTCTCCGCACAGAAGGCTTTGACTTCATAGTCCACACCGCAAGCCTGTGGGGAAGGGGTCACTGACCACAGGGCCTTGGAGAAGCAGGGTCCCCAGTACACAGCCAGCCTACCTCTCATTTTACAAGCGAGGACACTGGACAGGAACACCAAGCTCCCACAGCCCAGCCCTCCTCGGTCTGGAAGAAGCAGGGGAACGCCCTTGTGCTCAGCCCCAGTGCTGTGCTGCCTCCTCCATCTGACATGGGACATCCCAAATCATCCAAACAGGGCTCTGCTCTTTGGACTCCTGCCTCAGTCTGGGTGGCCATCCTCATGCAGGCAGCTGCCCAGAAATAGCAACAGCGGACTGGGGGCACCTACTACTACTGTGTGCAGACCTGGCCCTGGGTGGCTTCTCCGGTATCCCTCTAATAAGACAAGGAGGCACGTGCTGTCATCTCCATCTTGCAGATGAGGAAGCTGGGCTCAAAGGTCTGCAGCTAGTGGTGTCACTTCTCTCCAAGCCTCAGTTTCCCCATCTGTGACATGGGGATGATCACACCTTGATTCAAGGTTGCCAGGGGTTACGTGAGGCCAGGTGTAGGTCCTCAGAACACTTTGGTCCTGTTGCAACCAACGCCACTCAGGAGGGCCTCTGGACCCATCACTGAATGGGAGAGTGAGGCTGACCCCATACCTGCTGCCCTGTCTAAAGAGAGACTGGTTGTCCAAGGTGGGACCAGCTTAGCCTAACACTGTTCAACAGGGAGAGTGGTTCTGTGTGTCCAGCACCTCCCAGGGAGAAGGCCAGGGACCTGGGGACCTGAGAGTCCTGGAGCCAGAGAGATGGTCCCCTTGGGGTAACCTACCTTCCCTGTGTCTTCGGGCCCCGGCTGCAGTGTCACAGAGCATGGAAGGTTTGGAGGGATCTGTCAAGAAGACAGAATGAGCCATCTATCACATCCACCACTGTCCTGTCTCATGTCTTGCAGCCCTGACACGCCCATATACCTATCAGACCAAGGGCCCCAGGGGACAGGCCATGTCTACCCCATCAGACCATGCCAACCCATGCCCCGCAAGTGTCTGAGTTTTCTTTATCTAAAGAGTTTGGCCTAGCCCAGTTCTCGCAGCAATGGTTTAAATAGATCTTTCTATGATGTCTACTGTAGTTGGCAGAATAATGGTCCCCCAAAGATGTCCACACCCTGATCCCCCAAACCTGGGACCTTAACGACAAAAGTGACTTTGCAGATCCAATTAAGGCCTTGAGATGGGGACAGTATCCTGGATGATTTTGGTGGGCCTGATATCATTATAAGAGTCCTTAGAAGTGGAAGCAGGAGGCAGAAATGTACGAGCCAGAGTGACGGGATGTGCAAAAGGCTCAACAGCCACTGCTGGCTTTGACGATGGAGGAAGGCACCAGGATCCAAGGAAAGCGAAACTGGAAAAGGTGGACGCTCCCTGAGGGCCTCCAGAGGAGCCAGCCCTGCCATGCCTCCATTGTAGCACACTGAGATCTGTTTTGGGACTTCTGACCTCCGGAGCTGTAGGCTCATACATCTGTGTTGTTTTAATTGCTGCCAAGTTTGTGGCAATTTGTTTCAGCAGCCACAGGGAGCTAACATGTCTATGTGGAAAAGGTGACTCCATAACCCTCTCCACTCTCTAAGTCTCCCAGAAAGGGAGGGACCACACTGAATCTCAGAATCAGAGAGCCTAAGAAACTTGAGATTTTGAAATCCAGCATCTTAGTCTCTGATTTGAAAGGTGGTGGAGCAGACAGATCACCTACTTGCCATCCCTCTCTTGCGAGCTGGGTTAAACCAGGCAAGTGGGGAGCTGATCTGAGCGGGAGACACCTTGCAGTGACTCACAGGCCACAAAGGGCTCCTGCTTTCTCTGAAGCCCCTTGGCGCCCCCTTTCTCCCACCAATGACCTGGCCTCGGTCTGAGTGGCCCAAAGGTACAGGTGACAAACCCCAGCAGGGGCTAGAGAAGAGACACTTATCAGGTAACATAGGTGTCAGTGCCCCAGGTCCCAGCATACACTGGGAAACTGGGTGGCAGGGAGCAGCTGACCCACACTGACCCCTTATGCCCACCCCAGAGGGCTTCCTAGAGGTGGCATTTCTGGAATGGGGCTCCAGGGTTGGCAGTTCCTGACCTCAAAGGTGAAAGGGTAGGCGTGCTCGCCCAACTTCTTGATGAGGCGCTCCTGCAGCCGCGTCAGGGGCTTCTTGTCCTCGGGGGCTGGTGGGAAGGACTGCACGTTGGCCACAAACAAGTCCTTGCGAAAGGTCAGGCCCAGGACATCCAGGTCCTCCCGGCCATAGCGGAAGGCGCAGGTCAGCGTCACATAGACTGTGGGGAGCAGGGAGCACTGAGGAGGGGCCTGGGAGAGCAGCAGGTGAGCCCCCCAGAGTGCCAACAGCAGCCCTGGGACAGGCCCCGCTGGAGGCCCCAGGCCTGTCCCAAGCTCTTTGGGGATGGCTGTACTGTCTCCACCAGGAGGGGCTGGTATTGAGTACCTGGAAGGATGCCATGGCCTGGCCCCTGGGAGGAGGAGGGGGCTGCCTGCTGAGCAAGCCCTGTCCTTCTTCCCCCCTCCCACCTCTCCCCAGGGCATGTGTGGAGGGGTATGGAAATGGTCTGACAGGCTTGGCGGGGGCTGGAGTAGTCTGGCAGGCCTGGGGTGGGGATAGGAGGACTGGGGAAGGAGGAGGGAGTTGTAGGGGCAGGGCAAGTGCTGGGTGGTATCTGGAAGGCATGGATCTTGTCACAGCTCAGTCGCCCATTGGTGCACATTGGTGCACATTGTCTTCCTGCACATTGGTGCACATTGATACTGCCCCGGTATCAACGTTCTGTTCTGTTAAAGAAAACCCTAATCCTGCCCTGCTGGCATCCCCAGCCTTGCCATAGTCATGACATATTGATGTGAAAGTGCTCAGGGCATAGGGAAACCTTCTCCCAAAGTAGGCTTGGGGCAGGGCCGTCCCAGGCTGGAGGAGGCAAGGGCATCTGTGGGGGTATTTGTTGAGGCTTTCAAGGGAACCAGCGGGGACGGACAGGGAGATCCTATGCTAGAGGTCCAGGGGGAAGAGGAGGCCCTTGACAGGCTGGGGATGGGGGCCACAGCCTACCTCTCCTCTCTTTGAGATACTCAGGATCCACCAGGACCACACCATCTGGGGAAAGGACAGAGTGAGCAGCCTCTCCCAACCTGGCCTCCCAAACCTCTGCGCCCCCAAACACCAGCCCAAGCCCAGATTCAACCATATGTCCATCTAAAATCATCCTGAGAAAAATGGAAAGGCCGGCACCTAGAGGGTGGCACTGCCCACCTCCACCATGCTCTACCTTTCCCTCATCCCAGGCCAGCCTAACAGACCCAGCTGGTGACTTTAAGCAGGTTAGTTAACATTTCTGTTTCTTCATCTGTTAGTAAGAATAGTAACACAGGTCCAAAACTCCTAGAACCAGGTATACTTTGGAATTTAGAAATTGTGAAGCATAGAGAGGCAAAATGGGCCGGGCATGGGGGCTTATGCCTATAATCCCAACACTTTGGGAGGCTGAGGCGGGTGGATCACTTGAGGCCAAGAGTTCAAGACCAGCCTGGCCAATATGGTGAAACCTCATCTCTACTATAAATACAAAAATTAGCCGGGCATGGTGGTGGACACCTGTAGTCCCAGCTACTTGGGAGACTGAAGCAAGAGAATCACTTGAACCTGGGAGGCGGAGGCTGCAGTGAGCTGAGCTCATGCCACTGCACTCCAGCCTGGGCAACACAGCGAGACTCTGTCTCAAAATAAAATAAAATAGGCAAAATGGTACACGTTCCATATATTCTGTAATGACCTCTGCAAGATCTGCACCCTATTACTAAAGCCATTGATACCTCCACAGGAAAACACAAATATTCTCACCAAGAGGCTAAATATAGCCTCACATCAGTTGGGGTCAGGTTTGCCAATGAATGAATTCTGCATTAAACTTGGAAGCAATGCTAGGTTTTCAGAGCTTCTTGGGCTTGCCACATGTGAATCAGGGGTTGTGATCTGCAGGGCCTCCCTCATGGGTCTCCCGTGAGGACTGAATGGGTATACGCATGAATGTGCACATGCATACAGCACTTAGACAGTGCCGAGCACTCGAGAGCACTCTGCAGGTTGTGGAAGGTGCCTCAGTGCCCTGGCCCTCAGGAGCAGAGTCCAGCTGAACACAAAGGACATCTCTGCTCAGCACCTCAGGAGGCCAGAAACACTGGTTCAGGGTCACCCCCTTGGCTGACATCCCCTGTCTATCTCTGGCCAAACCTTTCTTTCCTCTCTCTCCCCCTACCCTCTAACCCATTGTCATTCCATTGCCAGTGGAAGAGGAGGGCCAGGATGGATCATCAATGTCCCGTTGGTGAGGCCAGTGGGCTCGGACTTGTGTGCAGCTTTGGTGGGGAACCGGTAAGCATAGGGAGGGTATGATCAGATCAAGCCAAATGGCAGGGTCACTATGGGAGAAGGGTCACAGTAAGTCCCTGAGCAGCTCCGCACAGTGCCCCAGAGTGTTCGGGGATCCCAGGGCTCACAAGGGGCCTGATACAGAGGGGGTGCTCTGTGAACACCTGCTGAACAGCTCTCAGGGTGCCTGCGTGTGTTGGGGGCTAGATTCCTACCCCTCTCCTCTCCCAGTCTCTGGGCTGCCTCTGCTGCTGTCCTTAGTAGGCCAATGGGTACGGATAACCCTGGCCTCAGAGGGCCACCAGAAATGACAACATGAAGCAGCCACAGGTGAGCACCGGGATGCCTGCTCCCAGCCTCTGAGGGGCCAGCTCAGGGAGAAGATGCCAATGGCAGAGGGACACTGAGCTTCAGAAGACACCAAACAGCATCCTAGGCAGGGTTGGAGGGGAGAAGTGGGGGTGTTTGCTCCAGGCCATGAAGGGCTCTGCTGACTGTCCCCTGGCCCCTGGAGCCCAGTGTCCCCAGGTCTTCCTCCTGGTGAGCTGAAGTCCGCAGCTGGGCTCGCTCCCTTGGCTCAGGGACCACACAAATCACTCCTGCCCTGGCCCCAGGACAGCCCGCAGGGACACTGATGGGAGAGGCCACACTAGGCCTCACTTTGATTTGCTCGTCCTTTTTTTTTAAGACAGAGTCTTGCTCTGTCACCCAGGCTGGAGTGCAGTGGCATGATCTCGGCTCACTGCAACTCTGCCTCCCGGGTTCAAAGGATTCTCACGCCTCAGCCACCCCAGTAGCAGGGACTACAGTTGTGCACCACCATTTTTTTTTTTTTTTTTTTAATATTTTTTAGTAGAGATAGGATTTCACCCTGTGGGCCAGGCTGGTCTCAAACTCCTGACCTCGGGTGATCTGCCTTCCAAAGTGCTGGGATTATAGGCGTGAGCCACCATGCCCAGCTGGCTTGCTCATCTTTCAAAAATCATTGAACCTCTTTGGACCTCACTGTGCCCATTTATAAAATAGGAGTAATTCTAGGCTTCCCTCTCACAAACAGGCATGAGAAGAGACCATGAGACCAAGGCTCTTCCAATGAGACCAGTCATTCTTAATCAGGGTGATTCTGCCCCCAGATGAGACACTTTGGCAACGAATAAAGACTTTTTTTTTTTTTTTTTCCCCGAAATGGAGTCTCACTCTGTCTCCCAGGCTGGAGTGCAGTGGCACAATCTCAGCTCACTACAACCTTCATTTCCCGGGTTCAAGCGATTCTCCCATCCCAGCCTCCCGAGTAGCTGGGGTGGGAGAATTACAGGTGCCCACCGTCACGCCCAGCTAATTTTTGTATTTTTAGTAGAGACAGGGTTTCACCATGTTAGCCAGGATGGTCTCGAACTCCTGACATCAAGTGATCCTCCTGCCTCAGCCTCCCAAAATGCTGGGATTACAGGCATGAGCCACCGCACTCGGCCTAAAGACATTTTTAGTTGTCCTAACTGGAGCATGAGGTACTCTGGGCACTGAATGAGTAGAGGCCAGGGATGTGGCTATCCAGCCTATAACACACAGGACAGGCCACACCAACAAAGAATTATCCAGTCCAAAATGTCAAGCATGCAGAGATTGCAAAACCCTGAATTTGAATAAGAACCTGGAAGATGCCTTCGGCCACAGCCCAGCTTCTAGCAGGACCGCCATGTACGTGAGGACAGCTCCCATTTCACAAGTTCTAAGAAGGACTCTCCCTCTCTCTCCCACCCTTTGCCATCACACGGAAGCAGAACAAAGAGTTTTGCAGACTCTGCCAGGTTTGAACCGGGTTCCTCTATCTACTCGCTCTGTGACCTGGAGTAAGTCACTGAGCCACTCTGTGCTTCATTCTCCTTGTCTGTAAAGCAGGGATAGTCATCATAGCCACCCCCACTGTCTGCTACATGACACGCCTTATAGTAAGTGGTGGTGTCTGTCGTCATCACCCTCACCCTTCTTACCGTCATCAGGACGCCTTCCCTGATTCTCACCTCAGTCCTTCCCACAGTCTCTTCTTGCAGTCCTCACTTGAGTGGGAAAGTAGCTGCTCAGTAAATGCTTGCTGTCTGAAGCAGGAAGCCATCCACCCCCGTTCTTGGCACCAAGCCCCTCTGGAGAGCTGAGAGCTATTTCTGGGAGGCTTGGCCAGCCCCATGTTCCCCCAGCCCTCCTCTCGCCCTCCAGGGACTCACCCACAGGGTCCACGAGGTCAATGTGGTCCACAAAGTCCCGCTTTCCCAGGTAGACGGTGAGCTGGGGAGGAGAGGCATAGGGGGCGTTAGCAGCCGCAGGCCCGGAGAACACAGGACCCTGCCCTGGAGGAAACCCTGAGAGCAGCCTCTGAAACTCCAGACCCATCCCTAACTCTTATCAAAATCCTAACTGGACTTGGGCCTTCACCCCATCCCTAATACCAAGATTCGCAAACCCTTGTAAAATCTTAAAAGCACCTCTTTCTCCCAAAACCCTGTGAAGAAGTCATTATTGTTCCTGTTTTACAGATGAGGACACTGAGGCCCGGAGAGATCTTCATGCCAAGCACCACTGCCGGTGGAGCAGCAGCGGCAGAGAAGCCAGGTGAATGGGAGTGCGGGCATCTCAGAGGGTGAGAGCCCCCAGGCAGGCAGGAGCACAGAGCCCTTAGAGGCTCTGAACGCGGGCCGCACTGTGTTCTTCAGTTGCTCCTCCTCCCATGTAGCCAGGCAGGGATCCACTGATACGAGGACTCGTTTTCTTTCTCTTAATTAATTTTTTTTTAATCGAGATGGAATTTTGCTCTTGTTGTCCGGCCTAGAGTGCAATGGCGCGATCTCAGATCACTGCAACCTCAGCCTCCCGGGTTCAGGTGATTCTCCTGCCTCAGCCTCCTGAGTAGCTGGGATTATAGGCGTGCACCACCATGTGCGGCTAATTTTTGCATTTTTAGTAGAGACGGGGTTTCACTATGTTCGTCAGGCTGGTCTCAAACTCCTAACCTCAGGTGATCAGCCTGCCTCGGCCTCCCAAGGTGCTAGGATTACAGGCGTGAGCCACCGCGCCCAGCCTAATTAATTTTTTAAATTGACTTAAAAGTATATGTTATTTATCATGCACAACACAATGTTTTAAAATAGATATACATTGTGGAAAGGTGACCTCCAGCTAATGAACAAATGCACCGCCTCACACAGTTAGCAGTTCTGTGTGTGACGACTTGCCTTCTGAAGCACTGAGGGGTCGGGGACTCATGCCCCACTCAGTAGCCAGCCAGGAGGGAAAAACTCCGAGACAGAATTCCAGCAGCTAAACCAGATCCAGAGTGTCACCCTGATGTGTCTGTTGCTCAACAGCCCTTCAATCCTCGTGACTCAATAGCCATCATTATTTCTCAGGTCCATCCCTTTCCATCCCCACAGCCACTCCTGCCTAGACTACCACACCAGCGCCTTGCTGCTCACTCGCTGAGAGCCTGCTCTCCTCTTTAGCTAGACTAGACATCCTAAAATGCAAATCTTTTTTTTTTTTTTTTTTTTTTGAGATGGAGTCTCGCTCTGTCGCCCAGGCTGGAGTGCAGTGGTGCAATCTCAGCTCACCGCAACCTCTGCCTCCTGGGTTCAAGTGATCCACCCACCTTGGCCTCTCAAAGTGCTGGGATTATAGGTGTGAGCCACCATGCCCGGCCCTAAAATTCAAATCTAACCATGCTACTGCCACCTGAAACCCATTAATGGTTCCTCAGTGTCCAAAAATAAGGATGACAAATGGGTTTCATTCCAAGTGCCAACTCAAATCTACCAGCGGGGAGAGGGGGCAGGGAGCTGTCTGGGACTCTGGGCTAAGAAGAAATCTAAGATGAAACCCTGGTGCAGCAGGAAAGGGCGATGGCGACTGATGTTATCTGCTGTGGGCACAGAAGAGAGATGTGGAAGCACATGTGGTGCTATTTGCCAACCCAGGCCAGCTCGTAAGCCAAGCCACAGGGTTCCCGTGACCAGCCCTGCAGCCTCTCAGCCTCAGCCTCCCTCTTGGCACTCTGAACTCAGCTGCTTAAGATTCCCACAGTCCCTATGCTTTTGTGTCCTGCCTACAACGCCGTTTTCACCTTGCCTTGCTGGAAATGCATCCCTCCTAGAAGCTGCCACTGCCCACCAGGTTGGGTCCTGCAGCCCCGATGGCCCCATATCTCCCACCTGCCACTTCATGCTGAAATGATGGATTTCGGTGTCTGCCTCTGCCATCTGGCTGTGAGAGGCACAGGCTGTGCCTCATTCATCTCAGTACACCCTGCCCCTGTCCCCGCCGGCTCAGCCCAGACCTGGTGTGGAATGGTGTCAATAATGTCTACCTGCTGAACTGAGGGGGAAGCAGGATGGCGTCTGGGCCTGCAGGGAGAAAGCAAGAGAGCCAGGCCCTGGGAGCTGCCCTGGCTAAGGGTCCTCTCACAGCAGGGGACTCACTCCCCCAGGGCCCTCGGCGCTTACTGATTGGCTTGTCCTCCACTGTCACACACTTACTGAAGTCTCTCTATGACAGGCCATCTCTCTCCACACCAGAGCTCGGGGAGCTGTGCTTCCCCACTCAGAAAGTTTCCTGAGTGTGTCCTTCCCCCTTCAACTGACAGCTCCAAAAGACAGAGCTGTGTCACCCCTAAGACGGGGAGCAGCACCTGCCCCCTCCCACAGAGGTGTGCACTTCAGGGGACATGCCATTTCCTCTGCTTCCCAATAGAAAATGACCAGAGTGTGAGGTCAGGGAGTTGCTGGGCGCAGCTGTTACAGACTCACCTTTCCATTCGGACTGGCCTTCTTGAACACTCTGTGGAGAGAAAGAGAAGTCAGGCCAGGGTTCACAAATCCTGCCCAGGAGCAAGTTCCTGTGGGCCACCTTGAGGCAGGACCGAGGACCAGGGCTGGAGTGACTGACAGGCACCATGCAAGCTTGAGATCCGAACAGTGCCCAGGTAATCTGCTCTTACCATCTCCACTGGTAAGCCTCCACGATAGCCATTAAAGCTCTCCTGGGCTACGCAACAGCCCCCTTGCAGTCAGGTCTTTGCAGGGCAGGCTGCGGGAGTCTCCAAGTGCAAATTTTCTAAGCTCAAGCGAGGAAAAGCCTGGCATGTTGTAAGGTCTGTGTGATCTACTCTCACCTCCTGGTGTCACCTCCTACTACTCTCCCTCACCCATCTCCAGCCACATCTGCCCCTGGCTGGTCCTCGAGCACACCAGGGCGATTCCCACCTCAGGGACAGTTCAGAGGCTCTCCCTGAGACATCTGCATGCTCAACCCCACTGTGTCCCCGGGCCTGAAGTCCCTCTCTTGCTCCACTTCTTCTTTTTCCATAGCACTCATCACTTTCTGTTTTGAGACAGGGTTTCACTCTGTCACCCAGGCTGGAGTGCAGTGGTGTGATTTCTGCTCACTGCTTCAACCTCTGCCTTCCAGGCTCAAATGATCTTCCCTGCTCAGCCTCTCAAGTCACTGGGACCACAGGCACACGCCACCACCCCGGGCTAATTTTTATTTTTTGTTTTCTTGTTTTGTTTTGTTTTTTGGTAGAGATGAGATTTCACCATATTGCTTAGGCTGGTCTTGAACTCCCGGACTCAAGCAATCTGCCCACCTTGACTTCCCAAAGTGCTGAGATTACAGGTGTGAGCCACCGCACCCAGCCAACACTTAACACTTTCGAACGTATACATATTTTACTTGTTTATTATGTGTCTGCTCTGCTAACATGTCGTTCCACGAGGGCAAGGATCTTTGTTTCTCTTATCCACAGATGCATCTATCCCAAGCACCCAGAATGGCACTGCAATCATTGTTTAATAAATGATGGGTCTAGGCACAGTGGCTCATGCTTGTAATCCCAGCATTTTGGGAGGCTGAGGAAGTCAGGAGTTCAAGACCAGCCTGACTAACGTGGTGAAACCCCGTCTCCATTAAAAATGCAAAAATAAGCTGACGTGGTGGCGGGCACCTGTAATCCCAGCTACTTGGGAGGCTGAGGTAGGAGAATTGCTTGAACCCAGAAGACGGAGGTTGCAGTGAGCCAAGATCGTGCCACTGCACTCCAGCCTGGGCAACAGAATAAGATTCAGTCTCAAAACAAAAACAAACAAACAAAAAATGATGAATGGCAGGTAGCAAACACTCAATAAACAGTTGAACAGGTGAAGGAATGAATGAGTGAAGGAATCAACCACCTTACTTAACAGAAACTGAAGCCCAGGAAAGGCAGAGAATAAGCCATGGTCACCCAGCAGTGCTGGACAAGGAATCAGGTCGAGATGTAGTCCATGACTCCCAAAAAGTGGAACTCACTTGCCTTCCATATCTCCTCCTGCCCTCTCCCACAAGCTGGGTCTTGGAGCCTGAGACCCCCTTCCCTAGCCACCAACAGTTAGCTCCAGGATCTCTCAAAGTAATTGTTGGGAGGGAGAGAAGAAAATTGAAAGATAGAGCCAGAGACCCCGAGATAAGACAGGGGGTTGGGGAAGAGAGAGGAGGATAGGGACACAGACCCTGGACGGGTGAAAATAAAAGATGAAATAAGAGAGGCTAAAACAGCCATGGACAGGGGTAGGGTAGGCACACATGAGGCTGAGAGGGCTTCCTGCCACCCAGTCCTCCCCCAGGAGCACAGGGCCCAGCAGGCACCAGGGTGGGCAGGACAGTGAGGCCCGCCAAGGCACAGGGACAGGCACTCCTGCCTCCTTCCGGAAGAGATGGCGAGTGGGTGGTGGCTCTGCGCTGCCTTCATAGCCCTGGCCCTGCCCACCCCCACCTCTCACTTCTGGGCTGGCAGGAACCACTGATGGGTGTGAGCATGGCTTGCTAAGAAGCCTGGCACATCCCGCCCCACCTCCCCTGGGAGACTGGGCTTTTCTCCTCCTCATAAATATGTATTTATTTATTTATTCATTCTTTTTTTTTTGAGATGGAGTCTCGCTCTGTTGCCCAGGCTAGAGTGCAGTGGTGTGATCTCAGCTCACTGCAACCTCCATCCCCCTGGTTCAAGTGATTCTCGTGCCTCAGCCTCCCTTGTAGCTAGGATTACAGGCGTGCACCACCAGGCCAGGCTAATTTTTGTGTTTTTAATAGAGACGGGGTTTCACCATGTTGGTCAGGCTGGTCTCAAACTCCTGACCTCAAGTGATCCGCCCACTTCCAGCCTCCCAAAATGCTGGGATTATAGGCGTGAGTCACCACATTCAGCTTCCTTCTCATAAATATTTATTAGTGTTCAGAGTGTGAAGATGCTACAGTCAGCTGGAGTGTGATAATTGCTAAAGTGAGGAAATATACAGATCACACGGTTTGAAGCAGCAGCTCCCAAGGTGGGGCTGGACCTGCAGAGAAGACCAGAGAAGTGGCACCAGCCACAAGGGACTCCACCTGCTTCCAGAAGCCCTGGGAGTCCATGGTCTGAGGGAAAGAGAGGCCACAGTGCCTGAGGCCACTAACAACTGAGTCAGGGAAAACCATTCCAGGGACTGTTGGAAGGAGCGAGACACCCTGGTTAGGCCGGAAGGGGCAACTTCACGAAGGGAGGGAGGGAAGACAGAACTTTGTTGAGTGGCTAATTATTTCTCATAATAGCTCTGTGAAATGGGGATTATCATCCTCATTTTACAGGTAATTAGCTCAAGGCTCAGAGAGATGCAGTAATTTCTGCAAGAACACACAGCAAGCCAGGGGCTCAGTCAGGATTCAGACCCAGTTCTGTCTGCCTGCCTCCAGAAGCTGGGTGCTTCATATCCAACCCAGCTGTTTTCCTAAACCGGGTGTTTTCAACAACACTGGGAATAACAATAAAGAGGGGAAACGAGGAGAGGAGAGGGGCAAGGGGCAGAGTGAGTGTGACCACGGTAGGAAGTGTGGCCAGCAGTGGGGAATGACCTGCTGCTAACCTCGTCAGCACCAGGACCACCTCCTTCAGGAAGCAGGACTCTGATGGCTTCCCCAAATGACAGCAGCAGCTACCACATTCCCCAAGAGCATGCCATGCTCTAGACGTGACTTTAGTTATTTTTCCTAGAATACTGCTGATCCTTAAAATCTCATTTCAGAGATGAGGAAATTGAGGCTCACCAAGGTGAAGCATGGTCTGCCTGTCTCCAGAGCCCATGTACTTTCCACTCCGTGACACTGTCAAGCCCTCTGTGATAAAACTCCTCTGACTTCCTGACCCTAACACTATCAGAAAAGAGGCCCCTGTGAGGATTTTTCGTTTCCTGGGACCTCCACCTATGTAGTGTCACACAGATGGCTCTGTCAACTTTGAAGAGCATGCACACACGTCCAAGACTGGTCAAAGCTAAATTTCCAGGATGCCCGAGGCAGGGTCTGTCTCGCCCCCAGCCCCATCTATGCCCCACGGCCTGATTCACAGAGCTGGGTGCCTATAAGAGACATACGGGCAGTGTTCCAGCTGATTAAGCCTCAGTGGAGACGAGGAACACAACCAGCCCCCACCGCACCCGACCCCACCACCCAGGGTAGCTCAAGAAAAGTGGAGGGCATGTTATAAGAAGGCAAAACTCTCAAGGGATGCAGGCAGGATGCATGGTGGCTGGCGCAGGACCTGGGAAGCCATCTGAATCTCAGGCAGTCTCACTCTCTCTGCACCTCTCCTCCTGGGGCTGCATGTTCTCCCAGTTGCACTGCTTTCTGGGCGGCTGCCCCATTGCCTCTGTGGACCAGCTGTCTCTACTTACTCAAGGCTTTTCTCCTCCTCCATCCTTTTGGCTTGGATGTGACTCCCACTCTGACACTGTTTCCACTCTGCTTCTCACTCAGCTTCCCACTGCTGACTGGTTGAATGGCCCACTTCCAAATTCCCAGGAGAGGAATTTGATTGGTCAGCATTGGTCATGTGTTCCACACCTGGGCCAATCAGCTATATCTAGGTGTGTCATATGGTCCAGGAGGCCTGGGCAGAAGAGGGTCTGTAATGTTTTCCAAACAGGGGATCACAACATACTAGTTGATAATAAAACCAACTTATGGCTGGGCATGGCGGCTCATGCCTGTAATCCCAGCACTTTGGGAGGTGGAGGTGGGAGGATCACTTGAGGTCAGGAGTTCAAGACCAGCCTGGTCAACATAGTGACACTCCGTCTCTACTAAAAATACAAAAATTAGCCAGGCATGGTGTCATGCGTCTGTAGTCCCAGCTACTCGGGAGGCTGAGGCAGAAGAATTGCTTGAACCAGGGAGGCAGAGGTTGCAGTGAGCTGAGATGGTGCCACTGCACTCCAGCTTAGGCAACAGAGCAAGACTCCGTCTCAAAAATAAATAAATAAATAAATAAATAACCAACTTAAGAGATTTTTTTTTTTTAATGAAATGGAATGGAATAGAAAATATAAGCATGCACTGCAGGTAGCAAGGTATAATAGACATTATTATATTCACCAAAATTCAGTTTCCCTCTAAGCCTGGGGGTATGTGAATATCAGATTTCTGTGGTACTATGAAGTTAGGCATGTCCATGTGGCTTGCTCTGGCCAATGAAATATGAGTAGAAGTGCCAGATGTCAGTGCCAGGCAGATTTAAGTGCTGGTGCTTCATTCCCCATGCCCTCTGTATTCGTTTTCTATGGCTGCTGTAACAAATTACCACACACTTAGTGGCCTAAACCAACACAAATAGGTCAGGTGTGGTGGCTCACGCCTGTAATCCCAGCACTTTGGGAGGCCGAGGTGGGAGGATCACTTGAGTTCAGGAGTTCAAGACCAGTGTGGGCAACATGGTGAAACTCCGTCTCTACAAAAATACAAAACTTAGCCAGGCGTAGTGGTGTGTGCCT